CAAAAGTGCATTTCCGATATAGTCTATCATTTGATTTTTTTACCCAAAATTTTTACAGCATAACTGAATTCTGACTTTTTTTATGGTACTATTTGTATCCTGGAAATGTCCTACGCCTTGCTAGCTACAACCAAGTAATAATCATTTGTTTTATAATCAATATACTCCTGTAAGCCTGTAAAATAAAATGTGAAACAAGTATATGCTCTGTTTAATTTATGTCTATCAACGCACATACGTATTCTGTCCGCACCTATAACTATAATTATTGTTGTATTTCCGTACCCTATGGATAAAATATATGCAAGTGTCTAGTGAACAGCTAATTATTATCATAAATAAGAAACAAATATATTTAACCTACTGGAAAACTTGTAGAACTTACTTATGTTTAATATTACCATGTTTACAGTGACTGTATTTCCAAAAGAGAAAACAGGACAGTCCTAGCCCCTTCCCCTGCCCCCCTGTGAGACTGTCACCAGAACCTTGCCCTCCCTGCATGAGGTGGTCACCCATCGCTGGAACCCTGCCCTCTCTCTTGCTGGAATACTATCTCTCCTCCCCTGCCCCACATCTGCCTCAGATCTGCCAGAGGTTGGTATCTCCACTCATCTCCTCCCTGCACACTCCTCCAAGCCACCCCCCACTTTTTTTATTAAAGTAGGCATTTCTCCTGTTTGCTCTTGCCAACAGAATAAGTCAGCAAAAGAAAATGAGACAAATGCCTCCTTATGAAAAAAAAAATGGGACAGCCAGGACAGGGCTTAAAAAAGGGACTGACCTGGCCAAAACAGGATGCATGTCACCCTAACCATGTTCTTATAAAGATCTCAGGATTGCAATGGGAATCCCTAATAATCCTCACTAACATCTTCAAAAGTGTCACTACAATAAATAAGGCAGTTAATGATTCAAATCAGAAAGCTTTTTGCTCATAATTTTAGACCTATAATAATAGTAAATTTTATTGACTATAATCAATACTTCATTGAAAAAAAGAAAGTTGAAAATCTTATGCTCAAAGCTTAATAATTTTGGTGCCATGACAATCAAAGAGGCTAATCTTACAAAACTTTTACTGATTTACTCACAAGTTGTCTCACTGATTAGAGTGGAATTGTAGTCATAAGTAAGAATTTGTCAGAGTACACCCATATTTAGAATCCAGTCCTGCAACCTTTGTTCACATGAGTAGTTATGGGACCACTTGTATATATAAGAATTTCTTGCAAGACTGAGGAGTGGAAGATAGAGCATAGCAGTTGCATTTTCCAGTTTTAAACAATTTCTTAGTTATGACTCCTGTCCTCATTACATTTTAAATGGTAAAATATAGGAAAATCCACTTCATTGTATGAGTATTTTTTGGCCCAGCCCTTGCTCCTATGATCAATTCAAGCTTTCTTAAGCACTCAGACCTCATGAATATGGTCTCATAAGTTGGTCTGCTTCCATTTGTGATCATTCGAATGAGTGATAATTATGGGGTCTTTCTGAAACACACCATGTAAAATTCTTTCTCATAAAACATGTCGTCAAGATCTGTCTTAAAATTTGATCCAAAATGAAGAAGGGAGCGTTTCTCTGTATTGGTGAGAGTTGGTATATCTTTCCGATTTTTAAGTCTTTAGCCTTTTTCATAGCTATCTTGGTGTGCGATATGATATGGCCTGGCCTGGCCTGGATTGGCTCTTTGGAGCCTTTCTGACTTTTAGGACTTATCTACATCAAAGGAAGATTGCTGCTGTCGTGATCAATCTTCTGGAGTTCAATTTAGCAAGTCTTGTTAAAACTCAATTGAACTCAGAGGGCACTCCTGCCGGCAGCCGGCACTCTTCCTTTTGCAAGGATTAAGGGAAGCCAATGGGAGTGTTTGTTCCCATCAGCCTCCTGCTGTGGGGACCCCACCAACCTCAGCTTATGGTAAACTGACTCCAGCTACGAATTCTATGTATTCAACCTAGCTGGAGTTGTGTACCTTAAGCCAAGCTGCAGGCTCTAGTGTAGACCTAGCCCCAGAGCTGTTGCTAGGAAACATCCCCTCCATTCCAGTTATATTGTGGAGTCACATGAAATCTGCCAAGCACATCCACTAGGGATGTAAAATCCCAGTTAATCAGTTAACTGGTTAAACTTTAGGAGCAGACGGTCTGATGGTCGGGGGGCTGCTCCGGAGAGGCTGGCGTGCTATCCCTGGGATCCTGCTTAATTGGTTAACCTGTTAACTGGGATTAAGCAGGATCCCAGGGGGAGCACTCCAGCCTCTACGGAGCAGCCCCCAGACCATCAGACTGTCTGCTCCTGGCCTCCCCATGTGTGGGACTACCACTTCTCCCCCCTTCCCCTCCACACACACGGAGCGTCTAGTTCTCAACTTCTATGGGGCTGGAACAGCCCTCCACCTGAGGCAGGGCACGGGCAGGGGGCTGCTTCTGGGTACCTGTTAACAGGTTACCCATTCACAGCTCTAACATCCACTAATGGTCCAATCCTATTCCCATTGAAATCAAGTGTTGGCTTTTGTTTATTTGTTTGCTTTTTGTTTGTTTGTTTTGCTATTAATTTAAATGAGAGCAGCGTGAGATCCTTTATACAGTTCACTCCTCAGGATGTAGCACTCATCTTTCCCAAACCTCAGTGGCAACCAGTGTGGAGAAGGACGGAGCATGTTCCTTACACAACATACTTCAGGGAAATAACGTTGCCCTTGAGTACTTTCACCTCTTAATCTTGTCCTGATTTTCAGAACGAAGACCCAAGAGGACTGTGTTCTGCAAAGAACTGCACTGCACTTCATTTCCCAGCCATTGTGATTTCTGCTCTGCTTGGTGATTTCTTGACTGTAACATTATTATCAGGTCAATAGCTGATTAGTAGCACCAGCATGCAGTCCTCTAGTGCCTTCCACCTAAGGATCTCAAAGCATTTTACAATTGTAGATGATGTATAAGAAGCAATGGGTATCCATTTGAAATCAGCCTCAAGAATCTCATTAACACATGACAAAAATAATTTGCTCTGAAACAATTTGCACATAGAGCTTTTCTATTAATTTTTCAACAGTAATTTTATAAAACTAGTCAAGCAGCTGATTTCTGACCTTCTGAAATGTTTAAAAGCACAGCATTTCTACATCCCCCATATATTAATCCCAGCTTCTCCGTATGCACAATTGTGCACTTTACATTTCTTTGCCCACAGGGAAGAAAAGGAGGAGAATCTATCATTTCTACAATCTTGCATTTAAAAAATATCATTTGTTTGAAGACCCTGCTATAGCTTTTATTTACTTATTTAATACTTGTTAGAAATTAGTATGTAGTTTTCGTGTTTTTTCTTTTAGCTTCTGTTTTTATCTTCTAGCTGTCAGTACTGTATAATCAAACACAGCTGAAGTACTGGAAAAAATATGTACATTTCACCCTGCACAAACACCCCATACCCTGACAAATGTCAACAAGTATTCTTAAATAACAATTTTAGTCTGGAAATTTTTACAAACAAACAAATCTCTTGAAACCCATCACAAAGCACAAATGACAATATACACACTTGGCCATCGAAAAAAAGTTAGTGAGAACTGCAGTAATGATCAGGATCTCTAGTCCTGGAAACAATCAGGCTATAAAACATTCTTTTGGTTTGTTTTAACTTTTGTTCTTAACTCCCAGCATCCCAAGAATGTTACTGGTAAGGAAGGAAAAGGCCTTACCATGCAGTGCATCAGGAGGAGAAGAGAAGCACATAGCATGCTGCAGAGATTAAGCTCAGCATGGCGTTCAGATATCCTTTGCAACTGAAGAAGATTGTCCGACCCATTCGTCCTAATAAAGTGGACAAGTTTTCTCTAGGCTTGACTTTTTCACCACAAGTCAGATCCTTAAAGTGCATTATATTTTCTTCTTCAGGAGATATATTTCCTCCAGTTAAGTTTCAGCTCAGCAATGCCATTTTCAATCAGCTCTGAGAAGTTCTTCATTCCCAGATATGTGGTGTCAGAGGGATTCCAAAGAAAATCAAAGAAAGAAAAGGGGGAGGAAGGGAGGAAAAGAAAGAAAACACCTTACTGAAGCCCTGACATTACTATGCAAAGAAAAAACCAAAGTACTTTCCCTCTCTATATACATGTTTCACAGTAAACAGTATGATCTATCTGATGTAGGGTGAGTTGGCTATTGTATAAAAAACCAAACCAAACTTTCCTAAGCCCCACATGATATAGTTTCATTATTTCTGCACTACCAAACAACCCTTGCAATCTTTAGGAGTCTTTGTAACCCCCTTACCAAGAGAGCAGCTATCACATTTCTTTCCCAAGTAGGCTAGTTATTAGAAATTCCAGATTAGCTTTGAAGAACTCTGGCAAAAATAAATACATAAAATCAAGTCAATACATTAGGTACACAAGCAGAGCCCCTAAAGATGAGGAGAGTTTAGGAGACACATTGCCTGAGATTCCATGGGCATGCAGGAATTTGAGTGGGATTCTGAGCCACCCTTAGCCTCCCACCTTCTCTTTGGCAGCAGCTTGGGCTTCCCCTGCATCTTCTGCAGAGCATATTAATTGATTCTAGTTGCTCAGCAACTAAGTCTGGGGAGTCACACTGACACCTTCAGCACAGCCTCAGCACTGGCAGCACTCAGAGGAAGAGCCAAGAGGGTATGTTCTCTCGCTCCCTCCTATCTCCACCTCTCCGCATTTGTGTGTTCAGTTGTCCTGAAGGAAAGCTTGACAAATTTCTGCACTGAAAAGGAAAAAGCCCACATAAGGGGGAGAGGATGCCCTTCTTCCTTTCATGCTGCTCAGCTGAATAGCCCTGCTTCAAGCTGATAGGAATCCCATTTGCAGCAGTAGTGCTATGTCTTTACAACCCCAAGCGGGGGCTGTATGGACAGGGGCATGTCAGGTCAGGAGGGCTGGGGAGAGAGGGGTGAACTGGGACCGGAGGGAGAAAGGAGTAGCTAAATTACAATCCCCAATGAAAAGCAAAGCTGAATTAATCCTCTGCCTCTATCTGCATGTTGCACATCTTTTAGTTCAAAATACGCAATCCTATTCACCATCCAAACAGTGACAGCTGAGGCTATGCTCCTGCAATCACATTCATTGGACAGTATTGTGATCCCCAATCACTGGCACCATATGGTACATTTACAACACTCTTCACAAGAGCTTGTGAATTAAGACAGAGTTTGCAGTTCTCTGGATGTATTTCGATAGTCTAAATTTCAGAGCTGTCCAACTTCATTCTGTCACCAATGTATTCAATCTTCTGGTTAAGTTGATCAAAACTTCACAAGCAAACTGACTCATAGATTTTTAAAAAAGCACAAGTACTTTCCCAGTAATTTTTGAGCATTAAGTCAGTGGTACTGGATAATTCAATGACTAGTAAAGAAAGTTGCCATTTAGGAGTCATTCCAGCAGCTACTCTTTTTGAAGGATTACCATTGTTTTCAATGTGGCAGCAGGACTGTATCCTTAATATGGAAGGCCAAAATTCAGCATGAGACCAATGAGTATGAGATAAAAGGGACATTGATACTCGGGTGACTATTACAGTACTACACAAATTATCAAAGGCAGCTAGACAGGGCCTGATAAGAGTCCATTGAAATCATAGGAGTCTTTCTATTTACTTCAATGACTTTTACACTAGGGCCACATAGGCCAATGAAGAACCATGCAATGATTAAAAAAATTGTTACAAACAAATGTGTTGAACAATCAAATTGGAGAAACCATGAGGTCCTTACTCAGCCGATGGCAGTTATTCATGCCTTACTTGAGAAAAATTCCATTGTCTGACTATGGACCGAGAAAACACAAAATGGTCTTGGCCCACTCACATAGGCATAATAAGCCCCATCAAATTCTAAGCTAGGTGTGTTATGTGTGATGTTAACTAGATCAGCTATTTATTTTGGTTAAAGTGACAGAATAAGGAAGAACAGGGTCTTAAGCACTATACAACCTCATAAATTGGAAAGCTACCACATGTATCCTGTTTTGTGCTTCATAAAGCACTGACTATTTGGTGGTGAGGGGACAAAGCCACACTATAAAGAGCAGCGAGGTTTGTGCCAGTGAACTGGAAAAGGTGGAGCCTCTACTATGCTGGGAGATTTTTCATACCTCCTAGCATTCTCTCTGCCTACCTCTGAGCCCTCTGTTTCAGCTTTTGAAATGGTGTAACCCAAACTGAACACTGTGCCACCTAAGGACCGCTGATTTATGTAATCAGTTCCACATTATTCATTTATCATGGCACCTCTCTTTTTGACATCTCAGTTTCTGATAGTACCTCATCTTTATTACCAGATAAGAGTAAGTCTGCCTGCATAGATATTCTGTAGTGGTGGTTGATGAAAATAGATCATTAACCTTTTCAGAAACTTCCATAGGTTCTGAAATTGCTTCTTGTCCTTCACCCCCTTGATATATACACTATCATCAATGAAAGAACTACACTGCTATAGGGCAGATTTTCCATCTATCGCCCAAGGGTCTCTTTCTTATAATCCAAAAAGATCATACAGCCATACAGAAAATGTAGTGGGAAAGGAGTTAGGGTTGGTAGCAAGTGCATATCGGGGGTGCATGTGTAGGCATTGAAAGGTCGTTTAATGAGATAATCTCTTCAACAAAATAATCCATTGAATGGACGAACATGAGAACCAGAGAAAACCATGAGATCCATTGCCAGGCAGGGATGCTATTATGTTGATCCTGCTTATCATGCCACTTTCTTTTCAGAAAGAAACCAGAAGTTTGTACAGAGGGAAAAGAGGCAGAGATGGAGAAGTGATGGCACAATGTGTGATAAAAAAAATTAAACCAATCTTTACTGTGAGCCTGTATAATGATTTTTGAAGTTCCGCAGAGGCTTTCGTGCTAAAACCTCAAAACTACAGATGGGGCAAATAGTGCATGGTCAGGTTGAAAAATATAGCAAAGTATAAAGAGGAGGAAGAGAAAACATGTGCCGAGGGATCCAGGAAATTCCTAATGATTTCAATCCAAGGAACTGACACAGCTGGAGAGGTCTCTCTGACTGCTTTGTGCACATAAATCACTGGGCATGCATGAGAGTAACTCAGTATATACAGCACATATAATAGCTTTTGGCAATCGCTATTAGTTATCATTTGTGATTTTTGCAAGGGTATCCCCGCCCCTGGCGTGCCCCAGGACGCGCGGCCCCGCCCCCGGGCACCCGGCGCGTGTGTGGCCCCGCCCCTGGGCACCCGGGAGCCCGTAAAGGTTGGGGACCACTGGCGTAGACCAAAGCTGCACAAGGTGCTATGCACTGGCCACGGGGGTCTGTCTGCTGTCCTCCTTCAGGGGGTTCCCAGCAGCAGAAGGGACATAGGCATTGCATTTTATTCTGAGGTTTGCTTAGGCTTAATAAGTATTGTATTTTATTCTAAGATTTGCTTCATTATATTTTGCTCTAATCTTAAGCATTGTATTTTACCTTCATATTTGCTTAGTAAAATCTTTAAGCCTTCACCCAATTTGTGTGCTTATTGCCTCCAAATCCCTTAAGGGAAGAACCATTGCCTCTTGGCAATACAGGGATACTCTGCAGTGTAGACATAGCCTTAGATTTATCTGGAACAATTATCCATATTGTTTCCAGGAACTACAAGTCATTTAATTTTTATTTTTTTTAAAGTAACCAAATATCCTTTAGAATATATTCCTTATTTTCTATATTTTCCACAGTCCAGTCTATTCACTCCCTCTGAGGTATCTGGCATTCGCCACTGTCAGCAGACAGTATACTGGGCTAGATGGACCTTTGGTCTGACCCAGGATGGCCATACTTATGTTCTTATTATCATTTACTCACATATGTGTTACCCAGTTACATTATGTATTTATCTGTTTTTAGTGCAGACAGTGAGCTCCTTGGGAACAATGACAATATACTGCTGGTATATCAATGTGCCTTGCACTTTATTTTATTTCTGTACAGTGAAATACATTCTTTTTATAATAGGAAGCGGATTTCGAGTGGAATGCTAACTTTCTGCACAAGGGCACCGGCCGTCAAAAGTACCAAGGAAGGGCAGCAGAAAGACAAAGCAATACATAAAAGGAAACAAGGCAACAACTGGTGATTCTAGTTGGGCATACAAAGCTTCAGATTATTAGAAAAAACCTCAGCATGAAAAGACAAGAGATGTCAATGTTCATATAACATTTAGAAAATGCAAAGCACTACAAATAAAATTTAATGCCATCCAAAGTGCCAGCACAACCACTTAAGTTCCACATCAAACCTCAAAAAAGGTCTGCATAGATCTTGAATTTCACTGGCTATATGTGCTAAGTGTTATTATGCATAGAGAAGCCCTAGATAAATATATGCTTTGTTTCCTATTCCACTTTTAGTTTGTCCCCCCCATCTCCACTTTCTATCCTTTCTAAAGCATCATTGCCACCTCTGACAATTACCATTACTGGGTCCCCATTCACAGAGAGATATAACTTCACTCCAGATTTCCTCCAAGCATCATGCCAGTAGCACCCAGGCCTGATATGAGTCATGTGACAGGAGAAAGCTGAACATGTCAACCCCTAGCCCGTCCTCCAATTCCATCTGTGCCCCGGCCCTGCCACATTCCTGTTTGGCCTTAGCAGCAGTTCCTAGAATACAAAAAGATTAACCCTCATTCTAACTATCGTAAGATTTAAATACATTAAACCAGTACTTCGCCACTTGTAAATTTCAGTCTTGTTAAAACAGTAATTATTTCTCACTCCCTGAATTTCCTGTTTAAAGACAATAGCATTTGTAGAATGTTCGAAAGGATGTCAAGAGCATGGAAATCATTAGGTATTAAATAATGCATGCAACTTACAACACATGTTGAATTTTAACTAAAAGTAAGTGAAACAATTAATCCATACATCAGAAGTTGTCTGGAAATGTTTCTAGCTTTGACCTTTCAATATCCCACAGCTCTATTACTATTCAGTCTATTGCAGTAAAACATGCCAAGTTGATTTTTTGCCTTTTTAGTTTAAATACTATATAACATGCATGGGAATTTCCATTTCAGGGACTTCATTTCCAGATTGCAATCTGCAATTCAAAGGAAAATCTCTAACTATGTGAAAAAGTCGTTATATTTTTTAAAATTAAATATATTGGAAAAAATGTACATGTCATATCTACTTATGGCATACATGGTTTTCACAACAATCTAAAAATAATTGACTTTGTTTTGAATATATGTTCGATAAAATATTACACAATACCTTTACATTTAGCAAAAATAATAAAAGAATTTTACAAAGCAAGTATCTGTACATGCATATTGTAACAAGTTAGATTCTTCTTTCACTTATGCCATTGTACAAAAAGAAATGTGATTTCATCAGGTTAAAACTGGTGCAAATCAGAGGAGAATTAGGTTGGTAAAATGCAAAGCATTATGAATTTGGTTGTCGTTTTCCTGCCTATTTTTAGGGCCATGCTCTTGTTTCCTTTAAGTAAATGCTAATGCACTGAAGCTGGCAAAGTAGCTTTTATAATAAAAGATTTTAAAAAAGTCTGCAGCTGAAGACTGTAAATTAAATGGTCTTACTTTTACCTTTGTCACTTTAATCTAAAATATAGTTGTATTTTGTCTGACTCTAATCTTACTTGCCTGGACTTTACACTGGTATTGTCTTTAGAGAACTCATTTCTGATTTACACCAGTGTAACTGGAAGCAAAAACAGGTTTCTTTGGTTAGATTCTGCTCTTACTTAAACCAGTATAAAACTGCAATTTTCCCATTGCTTTAATGAAGATATTTTGGATTCCTACTAGTGTGAGTAATAGCAGAATTTAGCATATACAGTAACTGTATCCCAGTACACAGATACCAGAATATCTCGCTATGTTATAGGCACATCACATACAATAAATATACTAAATTTTTTTCTTGGGAAAGAAAATCCTTGTTTCAAAAACACTTCCAAAATACATCAGTGGACTACTGCTAACACCTCACTTTCAATTTCAGCAGATTTAAAAGTGACATCTTATGCTAAAATGCAATTTATTATAACAAAATTGGTTTTTCTAAGCCAAATTAAACTTCTGAACCTAAAGGAGGGACCTGACTGCTTCCATTGAAGACAAAATTCTTATTGGACTTCCAGACTTGGGCCCTTTTTCTTTTATTAGTTGTATTCTTTTCGTACAAAAGTGCTTGGCATATTACACCAAATGAAGAAAGAACGAATTATGTGTTTCGTATTGCTTACATAAACAGATATAATTTGTATGTTAAAACACCATAGGACTTTAAGATATCATTTCAGTGGCCTAAGAAATGAAATGATGTATTTGCACATTCTCTATTTATAGCTGAAGCTCATCAGAAAAAAAAAAACAGTAATCTTGCTGTACAGCTGTATAATAAAACAGGACATGTAATGCATGAAATCGCTGAATTTGAAGTGCTCTTCTGCCCGAAATCCTTTTCTTCAGAAGCATATTCACAGTAGGTAAAGAAAAGCTTTCAAGTAAGTTAAGCAGAGCAACAGTTATTGCTGGTGAATAAATACTCAACATTGGTTTTGATCTGGTATATACCCATTGGGAAAAAAAACATTACAGTATGTTAAAGAAGGATTAAACATCAGCTAAATTAGTCCTATTAAAGTTTAGTTACGCTCTCTGTTGTGCATGAAATGACGTTGCTATTTAATCACATAAGCAAAAGGACAGGCAAATAATGTATCTTTTTCATATTTATTTATAAGCAATTGTGGTCTTTTTAAAAAGGAAAAATTTCCTTTACTAGGTATCCTCCAAGCATTGGGAAAAGTAACAGAAAATGATATGTTCATATAATTCAAGCGGAATTTTCCTTGATAAACTGGGGCCTCAATATTAGTATTTTTGGTTGCTGCTTTATAAATTCTTTGCAGGGCCGAATACCTACTATTAGCCAAAATACTCTTAAAGATTATTAAACACTTTAAAGAAAGGGGTAAGTGCATTGCATGAAATGGTAGTAGAAAAAGAGTGCACTTTGAGAGATGGGGTATAAGACAAATTTTTAACAATTTAACTATTCCTTTCCTAACTTTCCTTTTCAATACTTTTTTTAAACAACGACAACATAGCTATACTCTTTTGCTTCAGAAAAGCAAGGCTCATCAGGCAATTAGTTAATGCCTGCAGAATTGGTTTTTGCCAATAGCAGAGGCACCCTTATGAGCAGTCCTTTGCTGAAAGTCATTCAAAACAAATCCTCCATTCTAAACTTTACAGCAAATGAACCTGAATTGTTGTAAAAATTGATTTGAAGTACTTTATGGATCTCTTCTGAGACCAGTCTAATTTGCAAAGTTTTTCAAATGAGTAATGAGCAGGGATTCACTCAGTGACCCACTCAGAGCCAACAAATACACACTGTTCCCATGACATTAATGGTATCCTTTATTTTTTTAAAAGACAAGAAAGAAGAAAAAAATGCACACCTATTTTCTGAATATTCTCTTTTGCCTCTCTTTCTTTTCAGTCTGACTCCTTTAGTCTCCTTCTTTAATAATTTAACCACTGCATATGCACATCAAATCATTTCTGGTTTAATATCTCAATCCTTTTCATGGATTGATCCGCAACTGAGATTTTAACAAAAGGTGTTTCCTATGTTCTTATGCTAAATTATTATGCAGGGGAAAAGTGACAATAGTTGTGCCTTCCATCAATTATACATCTAATTATTCATAGATTTTTATTTGTAATTATTCTCTGCCAGCATGCATAGTTTTAATTATTATAACCAAATTGGAAAGCACAGTTTAAAATAATTGCTTTCTGCAGACAAGCATAATTACTCCCTTTTAAAAAAAGTATGAATATTAATAATGCAATCCAATACTGCCTTCTTTAATAGACCTTCCTATATAAAGAAATCCATCCTAAGATATTCCCCATTAACAACAATAATTGCTTTAAAAGCTAGTAGATATTATCAGATGACAAGGTAACCATGTTAATTAAGAGAAAGCTTGCCAAGCAATTGATTTATGACCAAAGAGATATATTTTTAAATGTGATAACCATATCTTTTCTATTAAAGGAGAAGAAACTGCATGTTCCATCTTTAGAAGAGCTTCAGTGACAATATTTAAAGACAAGAACTGACCTTTCAAGTAAGAAAAAAAAGGATTATCTTTCTTGATGACATTTTCAGTAAAGGGCTAGGAACCCCCCTGCTTACTAAAATATTTCTGCAAGCTGAAACATGAAAGGAGTTGCAGAACTTCTGGTAAATTAAAGGGACAAGGAAGTGCAGTTTACAAAACAATTTACTCAGTAGAGCTATTCAATCAAAAACATGTGAAGAAAAGCTTTAGCAGAAAGCCACATCTACATAGGTTATTAGTTCTATCAAATGGATCAATATTGTTTTAATCAGAGAGTAACAAACAGAGTGATAAATAGCTACAAGTATATATGTGATGGGAAAAGATTTAGGCATGGGTTCTTGACTAGCTAAGACCACTTAAATAAAGCTACTCTTGTTACAATATAAAAAAGAATGCAGATCTTTAGTAGCTTTATCAGGTAAGGGTTTCTTTCCATATTCTTGAATAAGATAATAATATAGCAAAAGAAATTTTACAACCTACAGGTAGTGGTTTTATATCCTGACCAATAGATGATGACAACATGTAAAGTACTGCTGCATATTTAAGCATTCAAATAACACAAAGTCTGCCTCGGTATGGGACACATTTTTCTGCTCAAACTCATACATTAAAACAGAATCCCATAAAACTTACCTATTTGTCTTATATGGAGAGCAAAGTTTTCAGGGCTTTCCCTCTCATAGCAGTCAGCTACTGGAATTTAGCTTACATGGAAATAATTACATTCTTCCATCCCTTATCTTCTTCCCTAGATGAGAGCTGTTGATGATGCCTGCAGTCTTGTTAGAATATTATTGTAATCCATTTAAGCTCCCGGAGATTGTTCAGGTAACCAAGACAAAATACAGACATTGCCATCAGGCTCAGGAGCAGCTTAGCATTTTCCTTGCAGTTTGTCTCTTCCTTTTTCAATCCTGCATTTTACATATACCTCAAAACTGGCTGTAGTTCAGGCTTTGCTATTTATACAGCACTCTGTGTGCTGCTTGATTTGAAAAGAAAGGAGTAAATGAAAGTGAAGGCTACCGAAATGAAAATGCTTTTACGTGTTTAGCCTTTCCCAAATGACAAGGTTATCATTTTAGGAGCAGACAACAGTTTAAAATTATGATTTAAATGGCTAGAGAAGCAGTAAGGAATGAAGAAGATACAAGTAGCAGCCCAGGAAGCAGCAGGCAAGAATGGGTGTCTTGTGATTGCTTTGAGTTAATACTCCTCAGGGGGAGATAAAAAAAAGCATGAATACAGCAAAATCTGTCTTACAAAGTAAAAATCTGTTGGATCTGCTAGGCTCTTCTGGCAAAGTAATACAGTATGTGTACTTACTCAGTCAATTCTAGCATTATAGCCAGCGTGCAAAGAATTCTATTAGATTATCAGCTTTGCTCTTGTTGCAAATACCATTGGTAGAAAGAGAGGGACAGGGAAACTCAGGCTTTATATAACATACTGAGCTTCATCCTGCTCCCACTGAAGAAGTGAGGCTTGGTCTATGCTACAGCAGAAGGTCGAATTAAGATACACAACTCCAGCTATGTTAATTAGATAGCTGGGGTCGATGTATCTTAAATCACATTTCCTTGCCATCCACATAATGGGAGGTCAACAAGAGCAAACACTCCCATCGGCGTCTCTTGCTCCTTATGAGAAACAGAAGTGCAGGCGCTAACGGGGTCCCCTCTAAGTTCAATTTAGCAGGTCATCACTTGAATCCTCACGCTGCTCGCTCTCCATTCCCCCATCCCCCCACCCCGCCCATGACAGATGCCACAGGGGAAGATTGTCCCTGCCGGCCTTCAGGGGAGAAACATTTTACATGTCTTGTATTTTCTGAGTTTGTTTTTTTTTACCGGACGGGGGCCAGAAATAATGGACTGTCCGGGCAAAAACCAGATACCTGGCAACCCTACTGACCCAAGATTCCCAAGCTGCTAGCCACGTAGGAGCTGCTGGGACTACCATTGGTGGTGTACCCTAGGGCAAGGGAGGATGTCCCTGGGATCCAACTACATCCAAAGGGGGGACTAGGAAACAGCCCAGGAACAGCCAATTCTAGTCTGGCTGCATTCTTGCCTGAATCCAGGTCAGTGATTTATGACTGGATTCACCGCTGGCCACTCTGCCACTGTTAGAGCCCTGATCTGGGACCCAATGAAATAGGTTAGGCCTGGATCCCACTGCCCTCCTGCTACCAACCTGTTGAGGCAACAGCCTTCCCACCTAAGGCCGGGGGCCTGTGTTGGTCTACTTTCTGCGAAGGCTAGGACCCTAGACTAGTTTCTGTGTTGCCCTGCTTGACAGCACAGAACATTAGACCTTTGACTGTCTGGTGCTTTGCCCTGTTTGAGGCCTGAGTTCCAAGACTGATGACTGTTCTGCCCTGCTTGAGGGCCAGAGTCAACAGTTTGGAGCTCCACCCTAGCTGAGGTCTTGAGCTCAGAGGCTGACTATTGTCCATCTCACTCAGATGGTTAGTGTTAAGCAAATGAAACTCAAAGGCCTTAAAAGCCTGATCCAAATCCCAACAAAGTCAATGGACATTGATGGGGTTTGCACCAGGATCTCTGGTAGCTTGTTCTGGTGTCCCTGTGTCATCATACAGTGCTAGGACACAGCAAACTGCCCATTGCTGCCCTAAAATGCTTGCACCAGCACTCCTCCTTTCTCCCTCTCCCTGTTTTGCTCTGTCCTTCCAGGAACACAGGAAGGCTACGTCTACACTGGCCCCTTACCCGGAAGGGGCATGTAAATTTCACCAGTCGTCGTAGGGAAATCCGCGGGGGATTTAAATATCCCCCGCGGCATTTAAATAAAAATGTCCGCCGCTTTTTTCCGGCTTTTAAAAAAGCCGGAAAAGAACGTCTAGACTGGCCCCGATCCTCCGGAAAAAGCGCCCTTTTCCGGAGGCTCTTATTCCTACTTAAAAGCCGGAAAAAAGCGGCGGACATTTTTATTTAAATGCCGCGGGGGATATTTAAATCCCCCGCGGATTTCCCTACGACGACTGGTGAAATTTACATGCCCCTTCCGGAAAAGGGGCCAGTGTAGACGTAGCCGAAATGTCCTCTGTTCCATACACCCCCTGCATACTCTTCAAAGCAATCAGAACCTCTCCAGTGGCACTACACCTTAAAAATCTTGAGAAGTATGAACTTAGCATTTATCCTTGTTAGCATTTTCATGCATTTTCCAGGGAGGGCTTGATATGGTCCTGAGAACTCAATATGACCGCCATGTACGGGGGGCGGGAGGGAAGGGTATGACTATTTCAATAAGTGTAGTTGTGGTAAAGGATGGAGCCAGTCTGTGTGGCTATGTGGTATGCTGCAAATTTGAAATTCACACCTGGAAAATAATACACACATTTCACAGCTGTGCTCTATATAAATATGCACATTAGATGTAGCTAATCTGACAGTCTGCGCTAAGGCAAACCTCACTGACAACAGTAGGGCTTGGCCTAAGGAAAGACTGCAGTGTTGGGTTTAGATTACAAATTTCTTACTCTGCACTTATTCAGCTTATAGCCCGTGCAAGGTGCCTGCTAAAATGTACTGTGCTTGTACATGCACAGTAAACAACCTGCACATACACATTTGGTAATAGTTTGGCTATGTATTAAAAACCAAGCAAGGGGGTTCAGCACCCAAGAGGAGGTTCAGGCACCTCTTTCTGGGTGCTTGAGGTGCTGCTAGCCCACTGTCTCTGGAAATTGTAGTGGCAGAAAATAGTAGAGCAGTTTTGGGGCCGCTGGGATAAAATCTTGAGCCAAATGTAGTCAACTCCCAATGGCTTCAGCGGGACCAGGATCTCACCATGTATACGCAACAAGGAGATAAGTCCATGTGAAAGTAACTGCCTCTGCCAATGACTCAGGAAACAGTGATCATAAGTTGCTCTGCATACGTTAAGGTTGACTTTTTGAACATGGACTTAGGTATCTATCTGTAATCTATTGCACTATGAACTTCTGGAGAATAATGGCACAGACAATAATTTATCCCCTTGCTAAATCCCCACAAAAAGTGCAGAGCTGCATCCATGTAGACTTCACTATTTAAGCTCAGCTTCCCTCCCTCAGAGATTTTTGGCCATGTAACCAGGTTTCCTGCTCTTTTCATTCCTCTCCATGAAAAAAAAAAAAAAAAAAAAAGGGAAAGTCATGGTTCCTGGGTAAAACAGAAAAGTTCACAGAAGCCATGACCCGTACTTGACTTTTACCAAACTGTTCCTTACTAAATGGGGATCTACAGGTCCCCACACCCTGAAGGTGGCCAGCTGAGCGGGACTCAGAATAGCTTGCATTTGCTAGAGGCTGTGGGGAGGCCCTACAGTTCTGGGCTCCTCCACCCACCATGGTAAAGCACCCTTGCTGCCCACAGCTCCAAGAGCCCTTGGCAGCCAGGAACTCGGGAGTTCCTGCTCAATGGAGTATCCTGCCACCAGTGTTCACTATAAGCTGTGCACTTGTGTGGCTGCTCAGGAGAAATTCATATTCTGCCCAGTTGATTAGCAGAGCACCCACAGCTAGCTTTTTTTGTTTCTATTGGTGGTGCACATTTGGATATGCCCTGGTGCACATAAAATTCATTCTACACATGGATGGAAAAAGTCACCACATGGATGAAAAAATGGAAGGGAATATTTCCTGCCACCTGTGGTGGCCAGGAGTGCCAGAGGCAGCAAGGGGTACCCTGTAGCTCTCTGCATCCATGGGTGGGCAGTGGGAGCCCTATAGCTCCCAATCACTGCAGGCTGAAGATATGGAGGTCATTGGATGCCATGAGTTTTGTGACTTCTGCTATATCCATGACTAAATCGTAGCTTTAATTATATGAACAAATTTCTCGAAAGACCAGGTGCTAAGTTCTGTCTTCACATACATGCACGTAAGTTCAACTGACGTCAATGGCAGCTGTACATGCTTGTACGAGAGCAGAATTTGACCCATTTTACTCCATTATTTGGAAGGTGTCAGATCAATATAAGGAACATTTCAAACTAGAAGCAAATGGTAACATGATGTATGTATGCTTGGGGTTTTTCATGCTCCACCCTTTATAAAACATAAAAAGATTTTGATTGCTAACCAATCAAATATGTTATTGGGAAGGTCCCTGCACTTGATCTGAATAATCAGTTAGCTCTAAAATTAAATACAAATTATTGTGCCTACCTGCAGAGTTTATAAAAAGAGAACCTTTGGAAATCAGCTTCCCTAGCAAGGTAACTGTGGGGAAAAAAACCCTGTAATGTTGCAATGTAAAGTGATAAATACATTTTTAACACAAATTTTAATCTTTAAATCTGTTTGTAATGGTCTGTGTTTTTCAACAAAGCTAGCAATTTATGGATGCTTTGATTTTTGGAAGCCCAACGTGAGAACTCTTGAAGAGGTCTGATTTTCAGAGGGCCGGCATTCAGTTATTTTTTAAATTCAGGCCCCTTTAATTTGTGTCATGTAGGGCAGTGAAAAGATGAAACATCCAAAATCACTAGTTTTAGGAATTGTCACCATAATTTAACCATCAGCCACTTGATGTTTTCATGCTACAAAATGGACATCTCCAATGGTGTCCAGTAATTCCCAAATAAAAGCACTTCTTTACATCTAGTATATAGAACAAAATGCTTAGGGTTTATATATACACATTCTTTCAGTACAAAGCTACAGAGCATAAAAAAAAAAAAAAAAAAAAGGGAAAGTCATGGTTCCTGGGTAAAACAGAAAAGTTCACAGAAGCCATGACCCGTACTTGACTTTTACCAAACTGTTCCTTACTAAATGGGGATCTACAGGTCCCCACACCCTGAAGGTGGCCAGCTGAGCGGGACTCAGAATAGCTTGCATTTGCTAGAGGCTGTGGGGAGGCCCTACAGTTCTGGGCTCCTCCACCCACCATGGTAAAGCACCCTTGCTGCCCACAGCTCCAAGAGCCCTTGGCAGCCAGGAACTCGGGAGTTCCTGCTCAATGGAGTATCCTGCCACCAGTGTTCACTATAAGCTGTGCACTTGTGTGGCTGCTCAGGAGAAATTCATATTCTGCCCAGTTGATTAGCAGAGCACCCACAGCTAGCTTTTTTTGTTTCTATTGGTGGTGCACATTTGGATATGCCCTGGTGCACATAAAATTCATTCTACACATGGATGGAAAAAGTCACCACATGGATGAAAAAATGGAAGGGAATATTTCCTGCCACCTGTGGTGGCCAGGAGTGCCAGAGGCAGCAAGGGGTACCCTGTAGCTCTCTGCATCCATGGGTGGGCAGTGGGAGCCCTATAGCTCCCAATCACTGCAGGCTGAAGATATGGAGGTCATTGGATGCCATGAGTTTTGTGACTTCTGCTATATCCATGACTAAATCGTAGCTTTAATTATATGAACAAATTTCTCGAAAGACCAGGTGCTAAGTTCTGTCTTCACATACATGCACGTAAGTTCAACTGACGTCAATGGCAGCTGTACATGCTTGTACGAGAGC